CCGCTCTTTTGGTGTTAAACCTCCCTGGATTTTGAAAGACTGCCCTTTTGACATCTCACTGTCTATGCACAAGAAAGAAGATACTCCAAATTACGTCTTCAGGAATCTAATAGCTGAGAGAACCCAAGTATTGGACAATACTGGTTGGAATCTTTTGTACACAGACGGCTCAAAATCTCCTGGTCTGCCTCCTGCTTGCGCGGTGGTAGATGCTACAGGACGGGTTCTTCTCAACCACATATTTCACGAAAGCACCTCAACTTTCATAACCGAAGCCAGAGCTATCCTTCACGCTGCCAACCTTGCCCATAAAAACAAACTCAAAACCGTCATTGTTACTGACAGTTTGTCTGTATTACAAGCTACCCGGAACCCTTCGACTTCGAGATGGAGCACCACCAACAAATTGAGGAATATAATTACTACACCCGACGGAAAAATTAAAATGTTATGGGTACCAAGTCACATCGGTTTACTGGGAAATGAGCAGGCTGATCGAGCGGCTGCTTCTGCTCCTCTAATTATGGATGATGTCATGGAAAAGTTGGATCTTCAAAGATACATTGGAAGAAAAGTTAAAGATAAAATTGCAGAAGAAAATTTACAATACCATCATCAACACTACTCTTGCATTAACCCTCAATTAACTCCCCCTCTATATCCAACAAATGTTGAGAAAACCAAGATCCAAATATTTTCGAGAATTCGCCTTGGTCATGCAATTGCAACTCACCAATGGATCCTGAAGAAGTCTTCTCCCCCAATCTGCTGTTGTGGACAAACTCTCACTATAAAGCACATTCACTGCGACTGCCTTAACTTTTCCTTGGCTAGAAGTATTGCATTTGGAACGATTAACCCTTTGAACATTCTACAATCAGCTTCAGAACAGAATATCAATTCAATATTTTACTTTATTAATACTACTAAACTTATTATCTAATATCCATTTATTTAAATTAGAGCCGATAGCCTGTGTTGCTAGTGCTCAATGTTTTTTTTTTAGTCTAAGAATTCAATTCATTAGTCTAAAATTAAAATAATAATAATAATAATAATAATACATCGTGTTAACTCGTCGTCAAGAGTTGAAATAGACTTAATTTATGATATGCGATTTAAGCGGGTCAGCTTCATCATTATTTATATTATATACTACTATTAATATATTAATAATTTGTTCATGTGAAAGATTTGAAATTTTTGACTGAGACTCGACACTGCAGATTTTCCTTTCCCAGTCTTCCTAATAACGAGTTAAAATCGAACATTGTCCAAACAGAAAAGTTCGAAACATTGATCATTAATCTAACATTTATATACATTCTAACACATCCTATTCATCTAACATTTATATTGCAACCTGAGCTGAGAGAACCTATTTTCGAAATCAAAAAAAAAAAAAAAAAAAATGGACTGGTTTGGTCGTTAGTTATAAATTTCAATAAACATAGCGATAAAAATTTTCACTTATAATTCTACATATGATTCCACAGTACCTGTACAAACGACGAAACTCGACCACCGTGATTGTCCAAAACCTCTGATCAGTTTTCTCAAGTGGTCTTTAAGTCCATAAATGTTATAAAGGTTAAATCAAATTTCTTCTTAATTAATGTAAATTAAATTTTATAAAAATTTAATTTCAATTCACGTTTAGAAATGCGTATAAACGAAATGAGAAATTTCCTGCAGCCAAGATCGTTAAAAGTCAACTATGTGATCTGACTTAATTCCATCTGAATTGATATGTCTATGAAATCTGCTTTTTAGTTTTTAAACTTTTTCTTGGTGGTAAGTTCAAAATGTGGTTAATAAAATCCATTTCGTTAGATTTTTAATGTGTGGAGTTTTTTCTACCCACCACTTTAAGATGGCGGTGTACTCATTTGCCGAATTGTTGATATTTAGTGTTTAAAGATCATCTTACGTCGATAGGGAGGGAAGGTCCGCGATTGAAACGAGCTATGACATACTCTTAAAATGTAAAACTGTACTAAGCAGCTTGGTGTACCTCTTCCATTGCAAAATTGTTATAATTGAGGTAAACTACTTGATAACAGTCTAACAACTACTTTCGGACTTAATCTATAAATTTGATGTGACAAATTTCAGGAGTGTACACGAATGAACTGCCTTTAGAAAACTCTTATAATAACTTATGTATGGATGCGATAGTTTAATGTATCTTTATTTAAGCTCATATTATTCGCGCTGTGCTGAGCATAAATATTATTGAGAACTATTTTTATTCATAATATATTCTACAAGCGATTACCAATTTCACCTTCATGAACGCATTCTTTCTAAACTATAGAAAAACTTGCCAAATTCACGTACGAAACAAAAAAATTTGTAGAGAAAACAGATGTTGGTAAAAAACAACTATTTTTGTAAAGTCTTTCGTGTGTGATTGCCGTATAACTGGAACCATGCGTGTTTGTGTTGTAAAGCTAATATCGTGTGAGTTTGTGTGTAAACTGTACTTTTTGTTTACATTTGGCATGCACGTGCTATTATTTATACTAAAGTAAATTGTACGCTCAGAAATTGAATTTCATATTTTCAGCATTTTTCTCTTAATTTTGCGTGTGTGTGCTGCAAATCTGGCACCGTGTGTATCTTATTGCTGCGAGATGAGTACCGTGTATTTTGTTGCTGTAGTAGTAGTACCGTGCGTGTTTGTTGTTGCATTTTGCACGCATGTTTATTTGTTTACATTCTTTAGAATTGTTGCTACTTCGTTCGTTTATCATAATTTTTATATATAATATAACCGTTAATATTATTATTATTACTAACCTTTAAAAACTTTACTATCGAAAAAATAATAAATCCGCTTTCTTTAATAATCTCAATTATTTCGGTATCAACACCAAAATAAGTAAATCAATATGCTTTCGGTGACCCTACGTACAACAGAAAAAATTGCAAGTAGTAGGTTATCAATATTTTCATCTTGTATTTCCTTGAAACTTTTCTGCCCCTAAATGCTTTTCAATTTCAACATTTTCCGTTTCACACCGAACTAATGTTATATCAATTGTTGCATTATTCCACGGCAATTCTCTGGTAGAGCGGAGGAATTGGCTCCAAGCTTTATATTTTTTAGACTTTTATTAGAATTTTCTTTGTTGATATTTCATTCGGCAAAGTTGCGATTGAGATTGTTGCTTATATTGATAAAGCAGACGTATTGAAGTTTCAACTTTTGTATAGAAGTCGTAAGACATTTGTAGTTCAAGGATGTTCGGTGTTTGCATAATCGTCAATTGCTGTTCAATCTATCTGAATGCGTATAAGCAAAAATGACGCATAAATCAGATTTTGAATATATATATATAATACAACAATTCCGAAAAACTTAAGATCAAATAATTTAGAATTTCTCCGGAAAAGTATTCACAGCGAATAAAACAACATTTTAAATCAGCAGATGCAAAAATAAAACCCTGTGTAATTTATAAAAGAAGAAGAAGAAGAAAAAATGTCCTGTTCCGAGTAACTTTTCTCCTGTCTAATTTAATAAGACTATTTTTTTTATTTCTTAATTGGCAGCCTTGACTGATATTAGTGTTGAAACCGACAATTGAATCTATCTTAAATAAAGGTGGTATTAGAAATTTTTATTAAAAAGATTAACACGCAAAAAAGAGGACACGGAAGTAATTCTTCTGTTAAATGTTTTTGTTTACTATAGACTTATTTTTTGTTCTAGTTTTCATTTCCGATGCATCACTAACCATTTGTTTCCGTCAAGCAATGGTTAAAATCGGATCTTTTTGAGCTTTTGCGTTGTTACCATTTAACTGTCATAAAATTTGTGTTTTCAGTTGCTTTTCATCATTTCTGTTACCGAATTTTCTAAGATGAGGCAGTGATAACAAAATACGCCAATATCAATTTTACGCTAAAACAGAGTTGTTATATACGAAAACCGCAAAATGAAATGTAAAACGGCATTGTAAACTATACAAAATAGGGCAAATTTGAGGTCAATTATTAATATACTAATTTCACATAATAACTATTACCCATATTCTAATGATATAGCAATCTTTCGCGCTGCAATCTATTGAATTGATTAATAAATAAATTTGTAAAGAAAAAAGTACAGTTCCTTTCATAGGCCTGCCTTTGATTATTTTGCAAAAAGTTGTATAAAAGTATTGCAATTATTTTTTCTTCCGTTTTCTATGCACTTTCCTTTTTATAACTATTTTAGATTATTGCAAATTCTGCCTTTATACTGTTGGAGATGAAAAAGTTCAAGTCAATTGCTCAGTGACTTGCTTAAGAATAAATCACGTTTTCCCAGAAAACCACAAAAGGATAATAAAACCACTTTTACCGACGCTTAGCAGAAATTTGTGGTTAGTATGCTTAGAATAAGAGGGATAAAAATCCTAAACATTTCAATCATTCCCACCATTCGGAAGAAAACGGCGTTGCTACAATTCTTGCAACACTGGGTAGATATAGTAAAATTTTGTTTTGTACGTATATTATGCGAACTTTATTTATTTTATATTTATATTTATTTATGTGGGCAGATCAAGATCTACTAAAGTGATTCACCAACGCTAGTCCAATTTTTGGTAGGGGAAAGCATTCATTATAATATAAAAGCTTTTTGCACCAGAATTTCAAGCTCAAAATGAATTCGCAAAGGTAAACGAAAAATTTTACAAATATGGTCGAAATTATTTCTAACTTTTCATAAGAAAAAAAGTATTAGCTTTGACGGTATTTTGTATCTCGTATATGAAAAAAAAGTCGAGAAAAGTATAACTTTATGTAAAGAAGAAAGAAAAGACTTTTTTATTTTCGTTCTCATTCTCATCTTAGGCTAAAACTTCATTGCGGAAATGTCTTGCTATCAACATTCTTCATCTTCTTATGTGTGCATTTATGTGTCAGATTGAATGTGATATAAACTCTTTGCGTTAATTAGTTCTACAAGATCAATTAGTGATTTTCGTTTTTTTGATGTTGAGGAGTATCGGTAAATACAAATTAATGTTTGCAATATGTTTGTGCAATATTTTGTTTCAGTTGTAGAGTTTGCGATTCTTTCATGTATAACATAAAATATTTGTTTGGTTTTCTAAGTAGTGTATGTAGCTTTAAAAACTAAAAGATCATGTTGATTCGCTTTCTTCCTTGCTTTTTCTTTTTTTTTAATTTTTGTTTGCAGTTACTCCTCATAGATTGAACCATCCATGAGACGAAATACAAATTTGGACTCAAACATTATTTTGTGCAGCGCACACTTTGCGTTGGGAATAATATCAGTATGGGCTCTAAAATATGTTAACATTAAGGCTTCAAATTCCTACGTTAATTTTACAATAACATTTGTGTACAGCTTGTTTGGAGTCTTATGTCACACTCATCCATATGCAGGGAAAACGCTACACACCGCCAGTGCATTTTTAAACCTATTAGTTAAATTGATTGGACTTGTGCTTTATACTTTCGATGTAGCTATTTTAACAAAACGTTACAATTCGTTTTTGCTTCTGATTAGTTGTGCTCTGACATCATTAATTATCATTATAAATTATTTTAAGTGCGAATCTATAAAGCTACACTTAAACAATTTTTTTATGGTATGGAATATATCGATCATAACGAGTATTGCCTTCAGGCAAACTGAACCATATTGGCTTATCGGTATGGTTGCTTTGTTAATTCTTAATCATTTCATTCTAAATGCTATTCTCAAATCTATTCATACGACATCTTTGCATTCACATGAAGTTAGTGTCATTGGACTATGTTTTTTTACGATATTCGCTTTAAACTCTGTTAATGAGATATGTTCAAGTTGATGATGTAAATAATATTTAAAAATGCGTTAAAATAGATTTGTATTTTTATTTAAAATACGCAGTTGTAAATATGTAGTAAATAGTTTCTAAGTTTGCTATTATTTATAAACAACGGTTTTACAAATCATTACCATTGACAGGTATCTGCAATCTAGACAAATTGTAGTAGAATGCCATGCCATTATAGAGAATTTCATTTAAACTAGATTATCACAAGATTCTTCGATAATTAGTCGCAGGTGACAGTGTAAGAGTGATACGTTTGTACAAATTCACGGCTTCTTCACTATGTATGATTTCCATTGTCTTTCCATTTAAGATGTTAACGAATGCGATTACGTTCTTGTGATGCATTTTATTTATTAGGTAATCGTGATATCAGTGCCTGACTGCAACATCATAATAGTCAGTTATTAATCACACTTTAGCGATTGTGTTTATAATTGTAACTCTGTGATCTTTTAGCTTAAAAATGTGGTTATCCTATGTATATATAAAAAAGCGATAAACCTGAGATTGTTATAAACAGAAGCAGAACTTGGCTTGCAAGAGCTTAAAAGCCTCTAATGTTAGTAGCGGGAAGATAATTATAATTAAGAGATTTATTTTAAAGAAATTATCTTATTACGCATAGCTTTCTTAAACGCCAGACTGGCCATTTTACTTACCGATTATCAATTGACGTTGTACCTGCAACCGAAACATGCTTTGAGAAGTTTTTTGAGAATGTTGTTGACCATAAAAAAACTTGCACAGAGCAGGATGAGGCATCGCCTTCATTATCAGTCAGTGTTCGAATTATAAGACTGTATTAAATAACCTTAAACTTTAATTGCTTAAAGTTGAATTCAAGTAAATCTCAAGCTTTTAAGTACGATTCTCATCCCTTGCCACGCGTTAAAATGTTAAATGAAGAAATAGAGTTCGTTAAAGTGGTTTCTAAGCTCGGTTTAAAACTCGATTCGCGAAAAAACTGTGGCTTCCTTAATCATATATTCCTACTTTTACCCATTGGATTCCGACTAAATGTCTAGCCGTATCACTTACATCGCATGGTGCGCATATATATGTAAGTCGTGATATTTTGTCTAACTAAACTTTTCCTTTCAGAACCGGAACAAATGAGTGAGTGAAAATAATTTTTGCTGCTTTTTTCGTAATGTCCATGCATAAAGATAGACGAAGGTGTAGATATAAACCAAAAAGGAAAAGTATACTAAACTCTTTATGATTTCACTTTTTCCAATTAGTTGGTCACTTAAGGCAGGGTAGAACGAAATGGCACAATTTAAAAGTTGCCGAAATTGATTGAATGAGCTATCACAAATCACATTCTAAGATTATTCTACTTAACTATAATCTCACTCATTAGCTTAGTATGCAAGTCTGGTAGGTTCTAGATCAACTGAAGACACAGTATGAAATCATAAATTGCGCGTGGCAATACCTGGTATGTGGCACGTATTTACTTGTGAAGGGCAACTTATGGAACACTGACGTACTTTGATTCAGGGGCGAATACTATCGAAAATGCTTAATTCGGTGGGTTTTTACAACCAATCGACGCCCCATTAGAAAAGGCCTTAAAGGGCAGAACTCACAATTATTAATATGGCTCGTAAAAAATAGATGAAAAGAAGTATTTAGGCAAATCGATTTCATGGTAATTTTACACGTGATTCTATGCACGATAGATGTAAAGATAGTTTATTATTTTACTAAGAAAATCTTTTTATAGTTCATTATTACTTATATCAGTTAATTACTTGTCTAAATGTGCTTAAGTTATTACCTTATTGTAATTTTTTAATTGTATTAAAAATCCTTCGTTTGGCTGTATGCATGGCCGCTTGGTTTTCACATATTTATAGGCCGTTTGGAAGTCCATTCCACGATAATGCATTAAATAAGCAATTACAACACTAGGTGATCGGCTTATACCAGCATTACAATGAATTAATATTTTGCCTCCATTTAGACGGCATTCTTCAATAAAATCAAAACTTTTAGAGAAGACAGCATCAACTAATAATGTTTCTGGTAAATCTAGGCAAGGTACAAACAACTTGGCTATGTTCTTGATTAAATCCAAAGAAGATACTTCAATGCCTATACTAAGTACGTTAGTTATATTATGATTAAGTAAAGTTTCCTTATTTACTGAATCCTGAGAGCCCAAATAAAGAAAATTCTCCAAAATACAGTTTGGTATTAAATCCGGCTTTGTATCCACAACAAAACCAAATGAAAGTCCGCTTAATTTTACTAATTCTTCACTGCGAGAGGTTTTACGAAAACGTTCTCCCGTGTTGGTGGTTATGATAGTATGCGTCGGTTTTAGACTTCGACGCTTTAATTGTAATTGTTGCAGGAGACTCATGTTGATGTTTCAGGGTCGTTAGCAAGAAATTCCATATCTTTGACGTTATAGTGAACACGACTTAAATATAAACCAAATGCTGGTGATAATAAAACTCGATGATCCCAATTATTCTTGGAAGGTATGGTCACCATTTCGTAAAGAGATTTTTCATTAATGCGGTTGGTAGCCACTGCCACCAAACAGCCGACCATGCGTCGTACTTGTTTATACAGAAATGATTTCGCTTTAATTTCGATATCCCAGTAATTGTAAAGACTTTCTGCTAATTCAGCATTACTACCAACAGCTACAGTTTTTCCAGGTTTTATATTAATTTCATCGATATCACGCACAGTGAACATGGGATGTGAAGCGCGGGCATTTTTGTCCCGAACGGTACTCATAAATGTGCGAAAATCGTGACGGCCAACTAATAAGCGTGAGGCTTCTATAAAACGTTGCACATCAAAGTTGGGATCCCTGCAAACTGTACTTTTAAGAAAAATTGGTATGCAAATGATTTTTTCACTCACTGTATAAAAAAGCAACGATCTAACTCCTCAACGGGTAAATAAACTTCAAAATTCTTATTTCTTGAACCATTTGGAGTTACAAGATTTGATTTCGCTACTGCGATGCGGTATAAATACGTACGTCCTAAAGCATTATAACGACAATGGAAGGTTTCCGGTACAATGCGTGTATTTAGAATCCGTATAGGCAAACTCTGTTTGTTTAGAGTGCGATTTAACACACCTGTTATCGCTTGAACATCATAAGGCGTATTATCGCAACGTTGAAGATCTACATGTATTGCGGTATGCAAAGCGTGAACACCAGAGTCAGTACTGTAATATTTGTTTGCATCACAAAAAGCCTCGTCAATCAATATCTAGGATAATTTACCGTACCGACTTGAAAGTATAGTGTTTATTTCATTTACCGGGCGGAATACTCGCAACGCCAACTCTAGACATCCTTGTACTGTTGTGGTATCTATACTCAATTTACCCGATTTAATTATGTTTCTTTGCATACCCCTTTTAAAAAAATAAAGCTTTGTTTATTATTGTTTATTGTTATTTTGTATGTACGAATAAAAGTACCGAAATCTTGTTCCCATATAGGATAATTCAATTAAATAACGATACATGATTTTGAAGTAACACGTTATAAAAGACGATGTAAACAGCTGTTTTAACGGCACCTCTACAATACGTATTAACATAATATAAATAAATAACGTGTGATTCCTATTTTTATATTAAAAAGTCCCAAAGAGACGTCGTTTCACCACACTATTTCTTAAGAAAAAAATTAAAAAATTGACGTAATGTTAACAAGAACACATGGCTTAAGATGTAAAAATAAAGAAAACAACAAGAATATATATACAACTAGAGCCGATAGCTTGTGTTGCTAGTGCTCAATGTCTCTTTTTTTAGTCTAAGAATTCAACTCATTAGTCTAAAATTAAAATAATAATAATAATAATAATATATACAACTAAAATTGAAGCAAAAGTAAATAAAATTTTCTACAAAATTTACCCTTTTCTGACACCCACACTTCTACCTAAAGGAAAATTTACAACATGGGAATTTAAAGTTCTTCACCGTCTTATGAGTAATCACACTTACGACAAGATTTATTTTAAAATGATCAAAGTCTCCTCCTCTGACATCTGTGAAGAATGCAATATTACTGAGTCTGCCGAGCATCTTATTTTTGAGTGCAGGACGTTTGACATCCTTAGATAGTCTTTCAGTATATTTAACTTGTATAACAATTTATATGAAATTTTTCGTGCTGGTAACTTTAGGCATTTGAAGTAACTGCCTGCCTTTATCAAATCAGCTGATTTTTCGTTCTAATTTTGCATTTATAATTTCTATTACTTTCGCATTTCATTCACACTCGAGTTGAAGGTTTTGGACATATAAGCCACAAATCTATTGGCTTAGTCCATCTCTGTTCAACATACCAAAAAAAAAAAAAAAAAAAAGACTTGAAGGTTTGCAACCAACGGGGTGGATTCACATCAGCTAGGTCTCAATTTGATCAAATTGAAAAGGTGTGTCAACGAGTTGATTCCGAGCAGCAGTTGCACGACGATAATATGGCGAGTCTAAGCCGCACCTCTGTCACGTTGGCGAAACCAGAGAATGCTAAGCTAAATACTGGTTCACCCAACGAGAAACATGAGGAAAATGTAACAAATGATGATACTATTATACATATCAAAAAGAAGGAAATGATATCTTTTAGCAAGTACGAAACGAGAATAGGATCTTTGGAACCTGAGATACTAGCGCATTCAAATGTACCTATAAAGAGTTTGAAAACAATGAATGAAGCCCGATTTTTGCCTCAGATACATGATGAGTTGCTGCACGCGGGTATAAACAAAATATTTCGCGTACAAGTATATGCTTGGCCGCACTTGTTGAGAAATAATTCGTTGTTTGTCGTCAACCCGAGTAAATCGGGTAAGACCTGGTCATATTTACCTGCTTTGTGCAATGATACTTATTATGATGTAAACGACTTGGATCTCACTTATGGACCGGTCGCAATCGTTTTAGTTGCATCCGCGAAATATGGGCAGATAATTGCTGATCATTGCCGACGCTTATTATATGGCCTGACAAATGAAGATTCCGTGGTAGTTGCCTCTTTCGGCCAACGTAATTTTATAGAAACTAAAATTAAATTATTGAACAGCTGCGGTATATTGATAGCAACGCCTGCAAGCTTATTACGCTTACTTAATGATAACCAAAGTGATTTGATTCATCCGGAACGGTTAAAGCGCATTGTTATCGACGACATGGACTTGATATTATCGCGAGCCCTGGATGATTTCGAACCAGCTCTTAAAGCTTTATTAACAATATGCAAAAAGACGGAAGCAATGACATTAGCAACTCAGGTGGTGGTAACCTCTCGTAGCTGGAACGACTGGTTTATAAAGCTTTTACGTCTCTCAAATCAGCCGTTATTACTGATGGGTGATTTTTTAGAAGCTGCTGTTTACGGTAAAGCCAAGCTTTCAATCATATTGCGTGCTAAGTTGGAGAAAAACAAAGCCATACGGTCTTTCCTTAAAAACCACAATGACACTCTTCACGCATGCATACGTACCGTGATCATATGTAACGAAAACGATGAGGTCGAAGGGGTGATGCAATATTTAGGAAAATATGGTTATAATGGAATTTGTTATCATAATCATTCCACTGAACAAGAGCGTATCCTAATTAATGAATGGAAATATAAGGTAAGAAATTTATAAGCGAAATAAAATGTGAAATAATTAAAAATTAATTTTCTGTAGATATCGAATCAGATTCTCGTTTGTACTGATGCTGGGTTACTTGAACTTCAAATTCGAAATGCGCAATATTTAATACATTATTCCATGCCACCGTCATGGACTCGATTCACTAAACGTTTCTCAGTTTTACGCGAAAGTTACGACAATCGATTAGTTAACAACTTTGAAAACATATTGGATAATGTTCATCATTCCAAAAAAGTTCGCTCTCTAATACTCTTGGATGAGGACAATAACCAACAACTGCCTCGTTTAGTCCATTTTATGCGTATGCATGACCAAAATGTACACGCGAATATACTAGCGGTGGTAAAAAGTCTATTGAAAGAACGCGCTGAAGCACGTGTACGTGAAGGTGTCGAGCTATGTTCGGATATTTTAGAATTTCGTGAATGCGATGAGCCGCGTTGTGATAAGCGCCACGAAATAACTAGTTTGGACGTTGTTACTGAAAAAGAAGGCATACCCATGAACGGTGAATTGCGCATTCATATACTTCAGGTACAATTAGAATATCTTTTTATGTTAGTTTGTACGTCAAAAAAATGTCACCTTGCCCACATGATGGTCGAGTATACAAGATTATAAAATTGATCATTACTTTTGCTAATTTGCCCTTTATATATTTGTATAAAATAGGTATTTTCACCCACACACTATGCTGCCCGTTTAGTAGAACATAAAAGTCCATGTAGCAAGGAATGGTCTGAAGTGAGATGTTCACGAAAAGTTGCACCATTTGCCGTTCGGCTTAATTTATATTACCACGATCCAAATAATGCAGTGCAACACTGGCCACCTAAAGTCGGTGATATTTGTGTTTATAGATATTGGAATGCCTATAGAAGGGCTCGCATACTAGACATACCTACATTGCCCAAAAATGCAAATTTGATTTCGGACTCTCTACAACTTACACTCAAGCTCATTGATGATGGCGTAGTCATAAAGTCAGCGCGAAGTAGTGAGACTCTCTTTTGTCCGGTTGAGTTTAAAGATTTCCCCTATCAGGCGATCGATATACGTCTAATGAATATGATACCTTACGATAATGAACGTACGTGGGATCCAATAGATACCGAACAAGTGCGAAAGTGGATTATGGATGACATTAAAGCGAAACATGTAACGCATATTAATGTGAATTTTGCTTTAGCTTCCACAATATGGACAAACAATTTAGTTGTCATGGAGAAACTGGAGACGATCGGCACTTATGTGCAAATCGTAAACTTAAAATTGGCCTTGCTTGCAAACCAATTCGCTTTACAATATAAAGGTGATAGGAAGAGCTTATGTGATATAGCAAGTGAAGAAGGTTTGTTGCAATTACGATCACAAGCGCTTGGGAATGAATATAATTCGGATATGAGTGAAATTTCAATGAATTTTAATGAATTGCCATTTTCTGAAAACAATGAGGACAACGTCTGTGTGGCACCAGATAGAGGCGTAAGTGTAATAAATACTAATATACAGGCTGGTGATGATGATACCACCCAATATATAAAGGAGCAGCCAGAACATATTGTTGACGCGCTGGAGGCGGGGCGCGAAGAGAATTGGCAGACATTTCCGAGCGATAATAATAAATCAAGACATGAAGTAAGATAATAGTTTAATCATATTTATTGACTTCTCTAATTTAATTACCATTCTATTCAAATATGTAGCCGGAACCTGTTAACAAGGTCTTATCTGTTGAAGACAAACTAAGCCAATTTAATGAATTTTGGAGCGAGTTACCTCTAAATGAATTAGTAAAAGTAGAAATCGGTGATGAAAGTGAAAATGGAAATTGGGGAAATGTATTTGTACAGTTAATCAGTCGGACCGCTATGCGAAAGTTTGATGAATTAATGGCATTAATAAACACGCACATCGAAAATATAAAAGCTAACTGCAGCGATAATCATGAAAAGGTCTACGATTTTCAGCATCTACATAGTTGCATAATTAAATACGAACATTTATATTTACGAGCTAAGGTATATGGTATATACGGCAATGAGATAAGTGAACGTCTTTACAGATTTTTCCTATGCGATTATGCCTGCTTTGTTGATGTTAAATCAGAAGATTTATATAAGGATTGCTTTTATGAGACAAGTGGAACAATTGTAAATTTTACTCCATATCAGGCAATACATTGTAACTTGGCTGGCATAAAATCGGATTGTTTTACAAAACGCATTTACGTAACCAAAAGTTATTTATATGCGGCCGCGGTACAGGAGAATTCAAGAAAAGCCAATAAAGCCTTGACATACCGTAATTTGCCAATCAATTCTTATGCGGTCTTGTTGTATGAATGCAGCGAAGAGAACGATTTCAAGCAGGCCTCCTTATTTAATAAAATGTTGCTGGACGGTGGCGCAGCTATCGCTGACCCAGAAACCAAACAATTTTTAACAATGGAAATTGATTTTGAGGAGAAAGGGAAAAGTTCGCAACATGAAGACATAGAAGATGTCGTTGATAAACTCCTTACGTTTACTGAATTAATTGAATGGATAGCGAATGCTGATGGATTAGATATAGTAAGTGTCGGGGAATTGCTAAACCAAGAAAAAGGAATGTCTGACGAGCCTGCTGAAGTATCTAAAGAAGTCGTTAAGATAACTGAAGAAACCAGATCAGTGAATGAGTTTAATACACTTCCAGAAAAAGCTAAACACGAAGACAGGGAAGAATTGTTTTTATCATCGCAAGATAATCCCTGCTTGCCATCTTTGAGCGCGTTGCATAAACGTCCCCAAACTACTTGGCATCAGACGAACTACACAATTATCCTCTCCATATACGCTCCTGATATCAAGGATTATTATTTGCAAGTAACTTCGAAACAATTACATTTTACTGCCGACATTCATGGCGAAGAACATGTGTTAATTTTACATTTTATGGGTATTATTCAACCCAGATTAGTCTCTCATGAATTACGTGGTCTCAATGTTGTAGTACTCCTGGTTAAAGGTATTTGCATGAACTGGCCAAGACTCTTGAAAGATTCAACGAAGCCTAATTGGTTGACGTATAATTATAACGCCATCGATATTGGTGAGATTGACAGAGTAGAAACGACGCCTTCAAGCTCCGCTATTCCTATTGCCTCGGATGATGTAACCGATTCGGATAATGATAGCGAAGAAGATTTATTCGAAACGTACAATTCCATTAAAAACTGCGTAAATGATAACGACCCTTTTTCTTAATTTTTTTCTTAACGTTCTAAAATAAATATATGTGATTACTATTAAACTCTTTATTATTTACACCTTTTTTAATTCATTTTTTTTAATTGAAGGTTTGGTAGCTTTTAAGTAACAGACTGGAATGGCTTATTGACATTGCGAAAATTCGCTTTATTGTACTCAAGAGCGTATGAGCGTTTTCTTGATAATCCTACGTAAAATGTCATATTTTAGCTCGAAAACAAAATAGCTATCGAGCATCATTTTCAAAGGGGAAAAATAAAGGAAATACTTTGTTATAAAAGCACATTTTTGATCAAATCGAATGATATGGAAAGATTCCTTAATATCAGAAATTCCCAAATATTTGCAAAAATATTTTGCTAACAAATACTTAGTTTCGATGCTTTATATCGCATCTATTGATGCCATAAAAGATGAGAAGAGATAAGAGAATATGGAATTAACAAAAACATTTCGGAGAACGACACAAAATGAAAATGTAAGATTACTAGAAACTCTATGAAAAATTATTCTAGAAATGTGGTATTTAGGGCCTGTTTGAGCAGCATATTAATAGACAAATTTATGCAAAACAGCAATGAACGAGAAGCTCAACGCGATACGAAAGCAATCGAATACCATCAATCCAAAATGCAATCGTATCATTGCTGGTCTTGGCCTCTGAACTTAGGTGGGTCAAATTTTAGCAATATTAATATTATTTTTATTCTTCACCTATATTCACCATAGACTAGATGAGGCAGTTTGTGGTAGAATTTAAAAATTAGATCATTGTGGTTCATATTTGGTGCAGCGAACTTTTATTTTAAATTACTATCACATGGACAATTTTTATCTTAAAATATAAAAAACTGTACAATTTTTGTCGAATAAAAACCTATTTTTCTTGATAGTCCCTATGTATATATATATATATATAGAGGAGGGTATAAAAGTTAAACCTATGGGATCTAAATATGTTACAGTTTATTGTCATGCCGAATTACCATTATGAACCAACTTTCACCATGAAATATTTCAAACTTGCTGTATGATACTTATGCAAGCGGATTGAAAAAATGGATTCATTCGGTCCAAATTTTTTCCACCTTTTTAATATGCCGAAATGCTATTATTCGTAGAAATTTTGAGAATTGTCTTTTGAAAATAAGTCGCGATAGTGCTCCGCCTCAATAAGTTCTCAAAAGTGTTCGTTTCGCTAGCAAAGCAAATCAGAGTACCATATTTAATCAAACTATGCTATTATTGCGCTTTCTAGATTGAACTAAAGAATACATGGCCATACCTCTGAAAGCAGACAGACTTAAAAAAATTAAAAAAATGCTTCCGAATCGATTGATATCATAAAAGGCAGATCTATCTTAAGCTCTTTTTGATGTTACATATACCCGTCAAGACTTAGTACGTTCCGTACCAAAAGTAGTGTAGGGTGCAAATATTACAAAATAACCTTCGACAATAATAATACATATATTAATTTTTTTTCGAATTATAAAGCACACTCAAATCTGTTTTTATGAGATTGTCCGTTCCCCATTCGCCGCATAAAAAAATACTTTTGGATTGTGCTGCGAAAACTACTTTTTGTAGCTAATTAAAAAAAGTTGTCTTTTATGCGGCGAATAGGGATCGTACAATCGTACAAAAAAGAGCGCGCAACAACACGTTTTAGTGTAGTATTAACTATATAAATGCAACATGGATTACATACTGGGATCAATATTTCATTACATTTCTGTTCGATATTTACATATCGATAATTTTGTAACTACCGAGAACTAGATTGCTGACAGTGCCACCATCTCATTTTAAATAGCGACTAATTTTATGATTATTGAAAATGTTAATCATTTTGAACGTATTTCCTATATTTATATTATATATGAACTTTTAACTTGATTTATTTGGCACTGCATACATTCTATAAATATTTTTGTCTATACGTCATTAGCATAGTAAACATACTTTCATTGTTGCAATAAAATTTTGCAATCATTTCAAAATTGATATTCATATATGTTAATGTTACATCTCTGACTTAATGGGATAAAACGACATAGCTACGAGAAAATTTTTCTAAACTGTCACTTTGACAAGAAAATTTTCAGTTTTTTTTTGTTTGTTATCATTGAACAAATATCTTATTGACCGGTTCCGTAATAAGGTGCTTGTCGCGAAAGTAAAATATATAAAAAAAGGAAAAAAACAGCGAGGAAAAAATTAACAAAATTCTAAATAAATTAAAATTTCAACAACTTGAAAAATTAATCGCCAATAATTAATAAAAAATGACCACCGACGCTAATGAAAATACTAATAAAGAAGTAGCTGAATGGGTGCGCTTTGGGATGCGTTTGGCAGTAAGCGCTGCACTGCACCCGTTAGAATATTCTAAGGTCCTGATACAATTAGGTTATGAACCGACGGCACCGGTGCCCGGAAAATCAATGTTTGGTACACCTATCATGGTGTTACCTAATATATTTCAATACAGTAAGCATTTACTTTATATGAAAAAAAAAAAAAAAAAAAAAAAAAATTGAAATTAAACTTTACACATTGCCCGTCACGTTTAGCTGCAAATATACGTAAAACTGATGGCTTTTATGGATGCTATCGTGGCCTTACTCCGAAATTGGTGGGATGTGTTTTTAGTATGGTGCTTAGTGAAAAGATAGCTGATCGCTTAGGCTTAGCACCTATGGAAGACAAAAAGGATGATGAGCCCTTAAGCAGCGAGGCATTGTGAGTATTTACTCCTACCTTGATTTCTTATCTTTTACACTGTTCTTATGATATTGCATGTATTTCTTTTTTCACATATTCTGAGCTTCGTTTAGATATCTACAATTCAAAGTAAATTTAAAACGTGATGTAGTCCTTAGTGTATCCGGCATTGTTGTTTCCCACCCTTTTCACGTCATTACGATTCGTATGATGGCACAGTTCATTGGACGTGAAACCTTTTACCACTCTATTCTCGGTTCTATCGTCGAAATTTATAAAAACGAAGGCATTATGGGTTTCTTCGCCGGCTTAATGCCAAAGTTGGTTTGTGATGTTGCCTGCGTAGTGTTGACTAGTACGACAGTATATTTATTGAATAAATATGTTATAAAGGATAAAATTGCTCGCCAATATAGCGCCGGAGTTACACAGGTTAAAAAATAATTTTAAAATTGCTCGCGGAACATAGTAATTTTAATGGCTTTATTTTGTTTTTGATTTATTTTTTTAATAGTTTGCTTTTTCAAGTATTTTGTATCCTTTCGTGGTGGTTACCACTTGCATGACGGTGCAGGGATCACGTTTGGTGGCTGGCCAGCCTCCGTTCATGCCGGCATACAAAAACTGGATGGATTGCTTCGGTGATCTATCGGCCAGAGGAGAATTGAAGCGAGGCGCTTCCATGTTTTGCAGGTCAGACTAAATTTCAAAGTTCAGGTCAAACTTCTTTTTTACAATTTTTCTGTTCATTCTCTTTTGTTTTCTTTTAAAATATATTTAGACCTGCTGCTGGTCTTGGCAAACCTTTGACACGCAACACTCTCTATGTTCCGCTGCCAGCATTGGCAAAATACAATTAAATTCTTTTGTTAATTATGGGAAGTCTTCTTAAAAAGAAAAGATTTTTGAATGCATTTTCTACCACTACCTGTCTCTTTTATGTCTCAGTTAACTATGCCCGTTGATTTTTTTTTTTTTTTGTTATTAAAAAAGCAAAGAAAGAAAAAACAAATTCATCTTGGACTGAACTTCTTATATTGTATTGTAAAGCAAAATTTTGTGAAAAGGACATGTCAAAGTCTTTGCCTACGGGGTTGCTTATGCAATCACAATTTTCTTAAAATTTTCCGTTTAAACTGTTTTTATACGATACTGATTGTCCTTTATTAAAATTAAAAAACAAAAAAAAAAAAAAAAAAAAAAATATAATAAAAATTTACATTTAAAACATTTTAAACAATTGAGGATATAATTTATTTAAGATAAACATGGGGCCAGGAAAAATTGAAAAGAATGTACGCCACAATGCGATTGAATATTCTCTTTAAACAATATATCTCTAATTTGGTACAGCGTAGCCATGAACGCCTGGCAATGTCGTTGCCTTCCGCACTCACACGAAAACTCTCAATACGCTCAATATTGAAAAAAAAAGAAAAAAAAAAAAAATTCCAAAGCCTACAAATAGAATACAAAGGAAAACGCTCATGTATGAGAAAACACAATTTTCCGGTAAATAGTATTTAGTAGATTCTGGGCAGAACGAGTATTCACATCAAGTGTGTGCGTTTATAAACTTTAAAATAATGAAAATTTAGATAACTTTATATAAAATTAATCAATAAATTTATATGTTAGCGTGTGTGAGTCAAAAGTGCTGAAATGTTTTATTAGAAAAACTTGCAAGAAAATTTCTAATCACAACTAATTAGTGTTTATCTCACGTCACATTGAAAATACTATGAGAAGCCGTAAATGCAAGCAAGAATTGTTATAAATCTTTTCCTCTTTTTTTTTATTTTTTATTTTTTTTTTTGCACATACATAAATATGGCGAAGAATTCTTTTATAATATCATCCTGGGATGGTATATTAATTGGATACATGGATTCGATTCTTAGGCGATTTATCAACCAACAAGGCATGCAATTGTTGTTAGAATTTTGAAAAGTGTAAAAAATTTAATGTAAAAAATTGAAAATTTTCTTAGATATGTTTTGAATTAGATTACAGTGGTCAATTCTGAAATTGTTTTTGACAATTAGGATAAACTGCTGACATTACTTTCACGACCAGATTTAATACAAGTTTCTCTTCACCTTAATCTTAATGTACAGTAAGTAGGTTTAAAAGGCAACAAAATGTCTCCCAGCTTCGAAAGAGTTAAGATTTAATAATGAAAACATTTTTTTGATTGGTTTTGATTTAAAAATTAAAAATATTATTATTTTAATTATTTAAAATTACTTTGAAGTTTTTAAAAAATAACTTTTACTTCCATCATACACAGTGGATATATGTTAGATTGGCTACATATTTCTAGGGAACATATAAAAGTATGTATGTAGTCGTACCCAATTTAGATATAATTGTTTCATTTCATATTTGTATACGAAAAGTTCCCGATTATCAGACCAGAATTTAATCGAAAGAGCAAACAACAAATCTGAACTTAATTTTTTTTTCCTTATCACTCTCATCAAAATTAGATTTAGAACGCGTGCACAATTATCAATAATAGCTAGATTTAAATGAGATGAGGTATATGCATGTTGTTTATAGATTACA